CCGTTACGGTTAGCCGTTATGGTTATGTGCAAACTCTCTACTAATGGCGATGACCCTATCATCGATTGAGATAAAAGGCAATTACCCTGACGGATAACGGAAGACTGAATGAATGTTCAAAAATAATTTCTCCTCAACCAACATCTCAAGGTCTTGGGAACGCTGTTACTCTAGTTATGAAATAAAAATAAATTTTAACATGTCTTAATATTAATATATTATACCTGAACTCTTACTATGGATTTTTTTGGCAATTGCTCGCAAATGCTCAAATCAATTTTGCTGCAAGTCGTACATGCGTGCCAAAGGACCCTTGAAGCTGGGATTGAGAAATCCGTAGGTACTGAGAAAATCCTACCTCGGGGATAAACCTATGCAGAATCCGCTAATTCAATGAACCAAATAAAACAAGTTCTCGATATTAAACTTGCGTGTATCGTTTTGTAATAGCCGCTCATTCACAAGTAGTTTTAAACCAAAAGGTTTTGAGCTTAAACCGTACTTTCCATTAGACGACAGTATTTAGAGATGCAAGAAAAGTTAGATACTATAGCTGACGGTTGACGAAAAAGATACGCGTACAGTGAGTCAATGAGGCACGGACGGACGGCAGTTTTTGTGCGGGTCTCCCGCAATAGATCGAGACGTGACAAATGGACAATGTATCTTAACGTAAAGTAACGTAACGTAACGGACACTTCAAAGAATTTGAAAGTGAGTTGGCTACTCGCTCCGTGACTTCTATTGTGTGCGACGGCTTCACAACTTAATTAACGAATCAATAGCATGTGTTAATTTTTAATGGCGGAAGAAGAAAATGAAGCTACGAGTCTAAGAAAGTCCCTATTCTCTACTAAACAGACGGTGACGAAAGGAGAATTTCACATATTATATGCTGACCTAGTGGAAGTCGGTGATCCAAACCATCACGTATCATTCGCACCACCCCGCTCCGGATGATCCCACTTGCGAGAGAATATCCATGAGCTAGGGTGAGATTTTTCATGTGCCTTCATGTCCTTAAGCTTTTAGCGTTGAAGATAAGCGCCTTGGAGTTATGTTCTTGCTTGAGCAGAACCGAGGACATAATACATTTTTTTTCTTGTGATCTGCTGGCAACATGCTCCATGAGACCTTTGGATCTTTTTTGTTGTTTTTCTCTCGAAGTTCTTTGGTAAGAAAGTGTTCGAAACTGCATGTCTCTATTTCTTCCGCCTTGTCCCTATTCTAGCGACGTTTTTCTTCCACATCATATTCGTACTCCCCTTTGTCGTGACCACCACAGTCCGCACCCGCCTCTTCTCGACTTCTTCATTTTGATCAGATTGTTTCTAATAAATGGCTACGTACTGTTTTTTTATTTTTATTTATTTATATTATTATTATTATTAATATTGAAGATCGCATCAACATCTAGGTCATTAACGGCCATACTAATGTTTGTTTTCGGAACACTTTATAAAATATCTCGTGTAAACAATTCCATACATGCTTAGCCATTTTTCCGCGCATCTAGTGTATTGGTTAAATTTCAAATTCTAAGGACAATATAACGTATTCATACAATTTTGTTTGAGACGCCGCTGTGGTGGAGCCAGCTTCTATGGTTCCAGGGTGGCGGCACGCCTCACTCTCTTCCGCCTTCTACAAGCTCCAGAGCACGCACGGAGGACACGGAGGTCCAAATGTGGGTGGCCAACAATCGACAGCCACCTCGCCGCTGTGGGAAAGGGAGGGTCTATGTGCTTCATTTATGTCGCCACATTATTTCCCGTTTTAGTAAAATAATTTATTTCCTTTTCTTTCATAATATTTATGAATTAAACTTAAAATTTTATATATATATATATATATATATATATATATATATATATATATATATATATACATATATACATACATACATACATATATATACTTACCTACCGTGCGAAGTGTCCGAGTGAGTAACGTGCAGGATTCGCAATCCCCGTGTCGGCCATCCTGGCCAGAGTTTTCGTTGTTTCCTGATCACAAGGCGAATCCCAAACAAAAGCCAAAATCCCATGAACAACGCCTTCCCAACACTTCTTACCAGCATCCTAGTCCTTTCATACCTCATCACCCCACAATAATAATAATAATAATATAAAATTTTCAAAATTTCCTAAGATAAATGCCGCACCTGCTAGAAACCATAGATTATACCGTCTCAGCTTGTCCAATCGTAGCAAAGACTGAATACGTGAAAAGACACGACAGGGTGTGTAGTTGCCTCCACTGGTAGATCTGTATTGCCCTCGAAGTTTCAAACACATGCCCCAAGTGGTACGAACACATACCAAAACCGGTGACATCTGTTGGACACTATACATTATTGCAAGACCAAATCCAAACGGATCTCATGATAGCAGCAAATAGACTGGATATTTTAATCCGGGATTTGGAGAAAAATGGTGTCTACTTAGATGTTGCTGTGCCTCGCGATCAAAACGTCGTAACCAAGGGGGCAGAGAAGCGTCTTAAATACTCATACAAGAGTTTGGAAATCGATATCAACCGAATGTGGGGCGTAAAAGCACATGCACCGATAGTCATCGGAGCTCTTGGATTTGTTCCTAAAAATTTGTGTAAGAACTTGGCTAACCTCTTAGGTCATTCAAAAGGCTGGGAAGAGCAAGAAATTGCTTTATTTGAAACAGCCCACATTTTGCGCAAAGTATTGTAAAGGCACCGACGTCCCCTAGATCTGCTCCTTAGGTAGCTGGTTGCAATTTGGAGTAGATTTTATATTCTGGTGGCTCTTAACATCTTTAGTCGTGATGAAGAGGAATAATAATAATAGTAATGATAGAAATAATAGTAATATTAATAATCATCCTATCACCCCTCATTGATATTCAAGACTAAAATCCTTGTCTCAACAAAGGGATACAGCCGAAATCCTGGTCCCCATAATTCCACACGTTGATCTCTTCATAATTCTCTCCATAATCTTATTTTCTTTTTGGATCTCAGGACACGTGGGAACATTACTCGGTTGTAATATGGAATATAAAGAAATTAGTGAACAAATTCTTATATCCAATAATAAAACAGAAATACAAGCACATAAAATGAAACGATCAAAGTAAGAATACAAAACATAAATACACTTCAACAGTTCTTTAAACAAAAACTATTTGTAACACAAATAAGTACTGTCTTCGTGGTATAAAAGAAACTTTGAACAATTTTGTCAGTTAAAATTGAAAAATCTGTTTAAATTACATTTTTTCCTTTGCAGGGAGAAATTGTTAATCTCAATCTCTCTCATTAACCAACACTTCATTCAAAATAGTACTCGTCTACACACAAAACGATTTTCTTTTAAATTAAACAAGTTTTGGTTTTAAATAGAATTCACTTTTTGAATAATCTTTTAATAGTTTAGAAATGAAAGGTAACAGCTAGCTTAGGAGAATTAATAGCCGACCTCATATTTAATGTTATTTCAAAATTCAGTTCACTCTTCTTGATATTTTCATCATTTAGTTTTTAAACAAATGATCACAAACAGTTTCTTCTCCCTTAAGTTCTGTCTACTTTAAGGTTACAATGTTACACAATGGAACAGATTATTTGTTTTCGCAATAAATGAAAGCAATGTCTAACACTGTTCATTAACTTGCAATTCTCTACCATTTGTAGGTCTTATAAAACACACACTCACGCACACGAACACGCACCCACACACGCACGCTACAAATGCTTCTATGCACTTTACATGAAACATAACCCAATTGGATTTACTTTTTTTCCTTGTAGCAAATTCCTTCCTACACTACACAAAAAAAAATAAATGAAAACCTTCAATAACTTGTAATGGGTGCCATATTATTTATTAGGTTCAAGAAAATAGTTTTTATTCTTAGGTTTGTGCTAAAGTTTAGCTATCTGTGAGTATGAACAATTTGACGTTCATCAAAACGATTTTTAAAAACTTTCGGCATTGTCTTTTGTTTCACTGTATTTAGCATACGGACAAGTGGGTTTTCGAATTCTCCACACAACTTGGAATCAAATCTTAAGTCAACACTTATATTGTCCCACTTCAAATATTTGTCAGGTACAGTATCTCTTTCTCACTAGTTCAGTAGAAGGTGGAACTATATAATGTTAGAACAAAGTCATTACAACAAACAAGATATAAGAAAAATAAATTCATTATAACTGATGATCAGGGCACTGACTTGATACAATACAAATCTGACTGAGGACTGTTGTTGGTACCTATTTTTAATTATTCTCTTGAATTTATTTCAAAATCCACATTTCACCCGGCTGTTAACCGATTTATTCCAAGATCGCCCCGTCGTGATAAAATTCTAAGTGTGTGTGTGGGTCTGATAGGCTGTCTATACAGATGCTTGGTAGCGAAATATTTACGTAAAGTAGCTATTTCCTTTTTACGTAGGATTGGGAACTCTTGTTACTCAGAAATAATAATTTCTTCGATTACAACATTTTTATCTGTATCAATCTGTAAGCATGTATATTCATTCACATATTCTATTGGAAATAATAATAACAAGAACAATTTTCATAAACACATGTCCTTTCATAAATTCTCCTATTCTCATTATCTATAATACTCGCTATACATCCCCCCTCTTTGCATCTATGGCGAAATTCTCTCGTAATTATGAATTTAGAAGTTTTACTTTATTACAACATTTCGTATTCCTGGCAATGGCAAATAAAAATAAATGTTTTCCGTTTTTTACTTTCCTTGCGCAAATCCACCGCAATCTTGAACGTCGTCGTTTCCATTCAGCCTCCATTTCCAAAAGAATTCGGTCCAATGCTATGGCGTTCGCGTTCGCCACACACGTAATTATTGTACATTTACTACCTTAAAACGCCGCCTTTACAAACTAACAATTCAGTCTAATTCTTTCCACATCCAAATAGCTTTCTCTCTTACATCTGACTCGCAGTATGTCCGAACATGTGCCCCGTTTTTTCATCTCGCGCGCCATTCATCTGTGTCTCATCTGGGCGAAATTACACTCAAACACGTCTCTTCGTTTCTCACGCGCCGATCCTTTTCAAACGATCTAACTCCTGATTGGTCACACACTTCAACGTATCTGTTTATTCTTTACTTTCCTGCTCGTAATAATTTTTTTATTTTCTGTCCCAAGGAATTTGTTCAAGTATCCTTTCACTACATTATTTGTTAACTTATTAAGTATTTTCCCTGCTTTAAATTAGGTTGTCTTTTCCTTGTATGGTTTCCAAAATAAAGCTAGTCTTGGTTTCTTTTCTATACCTCCATTGTTTCTGTGTCCACGTTTATAATAACGTAAATTCATTATTTCTATTTAACTAACCTTGTGATAACTCATCACACAAATAACCCTTTCAAATAAATTAATACGGAGGTTGAATACACAATACCATGCGACGCCCCCTTCATAATACCCCCTGTAATAGTAAAATGCTTAAATCAGTATACTTTTCCACCATCATTAACGCAGGAAATAGCTTACTTGAAAACATTGTGTAGTTTAATGTGACCCAATATGGATCTGAATTTCCAATTTGTCGCTGGACTCGTCCGAATCCCGTTTAAGACTTTAATAATAAGCTATGACCTCTCACTCCCCTATAATTTACACCCAAGAAACTGTAATGAAATTCTGTTTGCACTGACTTTTTCCCCTGTAATAAATCCCCAATTCGAAAATAATGTTCCCAGAAGAAAATACAAATCAATAGTATAATTTACATACATCTTAGAAACATTACTTTCTCCACCTTTACAGTGTACATTTTACCGTTGTAATTCACAGAACTTACGGCAAAATCGCTTCTCGACAGTTCGTTTTGGTTCATAAAATGATTCAGAGAACGAGATAATAAAAAATCTGTCTTATCTGTACCAGTGTCGCCTTCGATGGTGGCGCCCTTGGGAGCCCCTGTCGTTTTCGTCGGCCGCCCGTGGCCGAAAGCCCAGTTCCGCTTTCGCCAATGGCCGCGGAAACCGTCAGCGATCCTGCGAGCTGCTTTGGCCTCGATGTCACGACCCGGTCCGACTCCCAGACGAAGTTGGGAGCACTGTCTGCCGCGCCGACGGTGGACAGCCACTCGGCTTCAACGGCCGGCCATCACCGTCCCGTAGCATTACTTGCACGTTCCGCTCGGCCTTCCTGCACTGTCTAACCGTTTGAAAACTTTTTCACGGAAACCGTCGCTCTCACAGTTGAATGGGCGTTTTACTAACCCAGGAAGCTGGAAAACATCAATACCACTTCTACCATCTCTGTTCGTTTCCTAGTTCTTTACCACTCCGTAACCGTCATTCACGCGTCACGTCACTCATCCCACTATCGTCGCTTGATCGACAAGTGTAACTGACTTCTCCGTGTCCGACTAATCGTTCTTTATCCCCTTCTTTTCTCGCCTACTTGATGTGACCCTCCCTTGCTTACCGGAGCTCTTTGAACTCACGGAACAACAGTTCTCCTAGACGCGCGGTTTTCGAACACTTGGCCCAATGTGTGAGTCACATTCGAACGCCCACACATGGGCAGGGCATATATAATTTCAACTATAAAATTTTCTAATTGGTGTCACTCGATACGGACCGCCCCCTTCTCCACCTAACTATGCACTGACGAAGATATCCATCTTTCACAGCTAATCTCATCCCATTTTCTCATTTTACACACATTACATCCGTTACCGATCATAAACGTTTGATGGTCGTGGATGGGAATCAGTCTAAAAGATGGGACGGGTCTGAAGGAGACGGAGTCGAACGAGACGAAGGTGAAGACGGAAACAAAACAGAGAGACGGGGGAGAAGAAAAAAGGAAGTAGAACGAGGAAAAGAAAAAAGAGATGTAGAAAGAGAAGAATTAAATACACGTGAGGTTTAGATTAAAGTTATGATTTGAAGATTAATTTTCATTTATTATAATTTGTTCAATAGATTGAAATTAGAAATTGAAATCAATATCAGCTGTACAAACTAACACAAAATAACTAATTTAAAGGCTATAATACCTTTTATATTTCAGGATTAGAGAACAAAAACAAATATTAATCATCGAAAATCACTTTATTGTTTTTCAAAATATTCCCCATGAAGATCTATTCACTTTTGCATGCGTTTGAACCAATTGTCGAAGCACTTTCGCCATTCTGATTTAGGTATCTCCAAAACATGCGTTCTGAATGCAGCAACCGCTTCGTACAACGTACAAAAAAATGTACGTTTTTTGTTCTTATCTTGCAGAATACCGAGAAATCGAACAACTATCAATAAAACTATGTTTCATTTTGCTGCCTCAATAGCGCAAATATTTCGTATAATGAAAAACGTGCAAAATCATTTGTGGTGGTGGAGTTTCGAAACATTTTTCTTCTAAAATGGCCACTAACATTTTCTTCAAATTTTCTCCTCGTATGTATTCTCCTCGTATAAAGTTGATATTAGTCTGTTTTTTGCAAACTCTGTGCTTTTGAAAATTGCAGAAAGATCAAACCCAAAATCAGGTTTGAAGAACCTGAGTATCCAAAATAAACTTTTGAAAACGATTGCCACCAAACGCTAATTAAGACGTAAATGGCTTAGGCTTAGGACCTCTCACTTAAAAAAACAAATAAATAACTTAGGCCCTCAAATAAACAATAAACTGGAAAAAGTTAGATAACGAATACTCAATAACTGACAGAAAAAAAACCATGCATTTGCAAACCACTTCATCTCGACATTCAGACCCAACATATTTCTTTATTCGAAGTTTACAGATACAGTCGAAAACGAAATTAACACAGATTGGAACACAGCAGAGCTACCAACCAAATTTATTTCACCGAAAGAAGTTAAAAAGCAAATATAAATTGCAATAATGTAATATGCAAGTGATGCATGTAGAGATTACTGATCATCAGCTGTTTTTATCCCTATTCTGAAGTGATTTATAAGTTGTTATTTTTTCTCTCCAAAAAATGTGCAAAGAAATTCCTAACACACGTACTAGAGAAGTAATAATCATTATTGAAGATCCAGGTTCTTAGTATACCATGTTTTATCATCACTGAAAATTTCATTCATTTGAAAAATTTAACTTATGAGAAAATGGCACTCGACGTTTTCAGAATAGCAAATGTTTGAAAAATCTAGATTTTTTCAGTAGAAAGTAATTAAATCCAACACATCGTAATAACAGATTTTACTATCTTTTAGACCAGCCTGAGTTTTTACTTCCTTCTTGCCTCCTTTGACATGCGCGAATCCTCATATTCTACCTTTGATAAGCCTATTCTGTCAAGTTATCAACAAATATCAACATGGTTTTTTCCAGGTGACATACGTAATTTTTTCAGCTCTTCTCATCTAGCACAATTTCCATCGTTTTACAACAGCTTCATATACTTCTAGTTGTAAGGTTTTGAGACCAACGAATTTTTTTGGTATTCTTGTACAAATTGTGTTCTTGAATACCTCATAATTTGTATTTCGCAATGGATTCTCCTTCTGAGAAGTTGTCTTCTCTTAGTATTCACATAATTCTCAATGTCTGTATTTGCACTATGTTTGTTCCTTTTAGATGCATTAGGATAAGTTCCACATGCATTCGGCTCATATTTTTATCAGTTTCTCGATACAAAGTACATTAACAATAATTGATCGTAACAGACTGCATCTGCAAACAAAATTCCTTTAGAAAAGAAAACTTGCATTCTGACCAAATTGCAAACTGAGATATTAGACGTATGAGAGGGCGTATTATATTGCAGTCTGACAGTTGACACTGGAATATTTAAAAATACATTTAATACACTTATAGATGGAATATGCCAGAAATGTTCATTAAGAAACATTATTTAATTATGCAAAAAAGAAAATTCCATTTTTTAAAAAAAAAAATCGGCCTACCGTCGTCTCACCTAAATAGCAAATGAGTTGTTTTGAATGGTTTGAAGCACCTCTTTCGGCGACAGGAGGAGCACTTTTGGCGGGGTGTAATAGGAGGTCCAAGCGCCAAGGTCCAAGTCAAAACAGCCAAGACAGTCAAGGCAATCAAGACAGTGAAAACAGCCTGGCCGAACGGTTAGGCTTGGCAAAAGGTGTGCCGGAGAAGCATTGCACACCCGACATCGGGAAACACTTTGTACAATTCCCGCCTCGAGTTTATTCTCAAAGGTTTCCCTAAGCCGGCGAGCTAACGACCGAAGTGCGACATCTGCTGGCGGTAGATGTTGTACGCCTTGACGAAATAATAAGAAACAGTATTATACTTGGCAAAGTGCAAAGGAGCTTACGTCTTCGCCGAGACACAGCGAGTAACACCAGACCACATGGAGATGGCGTCGACCTCTCTGTCTCCTTCAGCGGCTTCCAGATCTTTTCCCCCCGAAGTGTTGTCGCCGCGCATAATATTGTATTTTTCCGTGATGGTACTGTCTTGCCAACAGGCGCATCTTCGGCCTGGACCGGAGGCTGTTGAAGAGCTAACAGTTCCGCGGACAGCCGCGTGTGCTGCGAACAGTTCCGCGGAAGTCAAGGCCTCCGTCGAGGGCGGTGACGACAGCGCCCACGCGCGCCGATGGCACGCACGTCGTATGGGAGCGGCCAATGGGGCCGGCGCAGCCATACGCGTAGGCGCGTTCAGATTCGAACCGTATCTATTTCGATGCGGTCTGAGTCGACAAGACCGCGCGTATCGGCTCGCGTCACGTTGCCTCGTGGCGGCGGGAAGGATGAATGATGTGCAAGCTATATTCTGCTCAGCTATGTTGTGCAAGCTAAATTGAAATTCGAACACTCATCCTCAGCATTCGCCGCTACTACGCGCCTATGTTTTATCAGCTAGGCATTAACAGCTCATGAACGTCTCGTCTGCAGCGTTCAGATAGTTCAGATAAAGATTGACCGCCTCCGGGTGGAACATATTAGCCTAACTAATAACATTAGAATAGAAACCGAAATAGAACACTACTTCACTCATCCACAATGCAATTAAAGAAACATCAGGCCCAAAATCAGGTTTGAAGAACCTTTATCATTATCGAAAATTTATTTTTTAATAAATCGCTAGCAGTCGTCATCTTGGTCAGCGTATGTGAGCGAAGAGAGAGGAGTCTAATTTCCACCCGGTACACGTACACTTGAGGTGACCAATCATCCTCCTTTAGGGAGGACAGACCTCCTGTTGTAGGTTCTGTCCTTCCGCGAATAGTGTCCTCCAACCTGTCCTTCATTTCGACATTTTGAAACCAACAGGTTAATGACTATTGAGAGATTCCACGGTGAAATGCTACGCTTCTTGTGACGGTACAGTTCGGAAAGATGCGACTAGTGCTGCTACATCGATGGAGTGCTCAGTAGTTTCAGTTTCAGGACTTCAAATTTTTGAACAAGCGAGAAAACAATATCGTATACTAACATTAGTTAAATTTCATTACATTACACTAGCTGCAGTACTTTCTGTAAAATTCACGATGAAGAATATTGTTCTGAAATTTTCAATATATTATTAGTAAATGATATATTCACAAAATATATTTATGCAATGGAAAAGTGCTCCTTTAATCAAATAATTATATGGGACGTAAACCTAATTAGCGTATTTTTGTTTGAATTAATCAAATATTTAATTTATTTACGTTGTACTTTTTCGTCTTCCTTTTCATTGTAAAAAAATCAGTCACCTTAGCGTACACTCAAAGCTGTTTAATCCAATTGTTGATTCAGCCAGTTCCCCGAGGCCTCCAAATCGAATTCAGGAGTAGGCTGAGGAACAATAAGTTGCTGAAACTCATTGGGTGAAGACTGATACGGAGCGCAGGCACCCACCCGTATCTCATCGTTATCATCGTATCCATCGTATCTCATCTTTGGTTTATCTTTGGTTGGATCCAGTTTTGCATTACTAATTTGTTCTGCGTGTTTAAGGGTTGCTCAAACATTTCGCTCTCCATGCACATGACGGCATAATATACATAACAAATATCATTAGTATGTTTTTCAAACGAAGTGCCCATGTTGTGATCACTTGAAAGTGACACGAACTGGCGTTGCGCAGAATGAGCAGCAATTGGTGCTCTGGACTAGCTCACCTATAGCTTTCAACCATGATTCAGCGGACGACATATGACAATCGATGTCTCGCGTATTCTATATGGAGTAATGCTAAAAATGCCTGCTAAATTATATAAAATATTATTTCAATACAAATTGGTCTTATTATCATACATGTTTGCACATTAATCGTAAATCGTTCATCACAACGAATTATCGTAACTGTACAGTAATTATCATTCACCTAGGGAGGGAAAAAGACATTTTGTAGAACGACGCGATCTTGAGCTACGTTCAACATCTTGTGGTCTGGATAGACCACACAAATCACAGTTCTGTCTGTAGCAAAATGTATCACTTAAACTATTTTTTAAAATAATTTGATTACATTACCTTTCTTTACTGCGTCTTATGAAGTCTATATCCACTGACATATTTCTGAAATGCAACATCCTTTCAGGCTCCTGGACTCCATGTTCTAGTACTGTGCAATAT